ACTCAAAATTTACTGAAAGTTAATTCTACTAGTTTTGAACTCTTGTTGAAGGTAAAGAGTTAATTGAATACTTCATTACTTTAACTTAAACGGAGTAAATAAACAGTTTTCGTATGAATTTTTTTTTTTTTTTTTTGTAACTTAAATGGTTTGTAGCAATCGGTTTCCTTAAACGGTTTGAGTTTTCTTAACTTATTGGTTTTTACAGTACTCTGTTGGTTTAAGTTTTTTTTTTTTTTTTTTTCATTTATTGGGTTTTACTGTGCTCAGATTGCTTCGTTTACTCAAATGGATTAAGTTCACAGTACTCATTAGGATTAGTTTTTGAACTTAAATGGTTTGTTGCAATTGGTTTCCTCAAACGGTTTGAGTTACCATAACATTTTGGGTTTTCCAGTGTATAAATATCAAATGAAAGCTTATTTTTAGAGCACACTTAGTTACAACCTTTGGTTGACCAAGGTGCTGTACAATAGCAGTAGCAGGTAAAAACAGCAATAAAATAAAAAATAAAAAACCATATAAAACAATAACAACACTAAAAGTTTCCAAGAAATAAGCAATTTAATATAGCGTGGAACTGCCATTAGGGAATAATAAATTTAATATTGTTACAATGGTATACTGTATGTTACTCTGATCAATGTGTTGGTCAAATGTGGAAAGCGCAACCATTGGATTAAATTTGGGTAAAAAAGTTTTATGAAAATATTTAGCCTTGCAGTTTGGTTTTGTCAACATTTTACAAACTTTGAGTTGAAGCGACCCAAACTCTTTTGTTTTAGATTGGTGCATATGCTTGTCTTCTATTATGGAACTTCAGCAATCAGCATAAGCTATTATAGATATATTAACAACAGTCTAAAAAAGCAGTGTAGGACTAATCAATACAAAACTAATACTATAAACACAGTTTTTACAATTAAAGATGGAATATGATTAAAACAATATGGTATATAATTGTATTGCCTTAACACATTGAACACATTTCTTTAAATAGTGCAGATGACATATCTGCAATATACATACATGGCTAAGAGCACAGTCATTAGACAAACTGGATATTGAGTGGTACTGCTAGTTTTAAGAGTATTATATTTGTTAGAATATTGGTATAGTAAGTGATGTTAAATAAGTTTCATTCAAAACGTTTCCTTTTAATTCAGTAAAAATTGACATTAAGAAAAAAAGGGGTTTGGACGGTAAAGTATGAATTTAGTATGACCTATAGCTGTGCTTTGAAACTAACAGGGCCCTTCAAAACTCATTCTAAAGGACAGCTTCTTGAGATTAATGCTTTCTCTTAAGTTCGATGCTAAAATATGTTGCCAAACAATTTAGATTTTTGCAAAAACAATTCCTAATTTACTAAAATAAAATGTACTAGGAAAGTACATACAATTATAGGATTATGTTAAATTATTGTAGTTTATAATAATATTTTAGCTCCAGTCATGCTTCCAGGATGTAGCCTATTTCTAAAGCTTGTTTATGGATCAGATTTTCTTTTTCGACTGAGCATCCAGTAAACACCACCAAGAATAGGAAAACATCACCAACACACTGTATTAACTTCCATGATCTGTTTATCCTTCCCGCAAAAGACAAGTCTATTTAGGGACAAGCAGATTGCACAAATAAACAGCTCTCAAGATGTGTAACCTCTGCCATTATTATGCATGAAACGCCACAATGGATTTGTGTACTTCTCGTGCAGTGCTCTGATTGCCTGTTTATTTTCACAGCAGCCCTCCAGAGCCAGTGGATGCTGCGCCAACCAGCGCGAGGTGCCAAGTCTCTCCAGCCATTTCCTGTGTGTGACATCATTGTGTATCCCCTAGCGGCAGCATGATGCGTGTCCTGTCTGCTCTCTGGGTGGTGTGTGCTAAAGCTTGCTGTAAACCAGGGGGTTCAGCATTCCCTTTGTTCAATGGGTTTGAAAGGGGACTTTTGATACTCTGTCACTCTTAATGTAACACTTGCCCCACCAGTCTAAGCCTAATGCAACCACTGTAATTTAACTACCATCAGTCTGAAGCAGTTCAGCTTTTCGTTTTTTTTTTTTTTTCACATTTCTAAAACACTAACTTTGACAGCTTTCCTGTCAAAGTGATATTTTCCAAATGCAGAAAGACAAGACCGTTTTTCATTCTTGATTTTATTAACTGACTAAACTTTTACTATTTTATTTTGTATTGAAAAGACAAACCTCTAATGTGCCTGTGGATCTTTCCCTTTCTTGTCACATAAGCTAACACAAAATTCACACTTTTCATACAGTTGAACATAGTTATTTCAATATATTTAAGATATTAATATTGTATATATTTAAATTTGCATGTGAAAAATAAACAATGGATTACATATTTCATATATTTCTGTTATGTTTTTGTTGAAACCAACATCTACATTTTTTATTATTTCCATACGATATAAATACATATCCAAATCAGCAAACTCTAAACAATAAATTACACATTTTAGTTTACACATTTTAGTTTGTATAAAGCTATTGAAATTAATATCTGCTTATGTGTTCAGTTAACTCAGCTTTTATCCTAGATTGCTTTATTAAGGTGTAGTTCTATTTATTAATAAATAATTTGACAACCAGCCTGTAATCATGCCAACAAAACCAACATGCAATTTGAATCCTGTTAAAGTAATTTCCTGACTTGCTCTTAATTATTGTTGCTATAGTATTACTGAAATTAATAATCATTTCTTAAGTTGTTGAACTGACATCTGTGTTTTAGTTCCTAGCTTTGTAGTAGACCTACAGTATCTGCTTTATGTAACTCTATAGTACTATAGGAACAAACTTTGACCCAAGCATAACTGTAACTCTGCACCATTTCCAGATTATTAGCTCTCAATGTTACGATCTACAGTAATCTCTGTCTAAAAAGCTCTAGCTTTTAGTGCAGAAACATGTCTTTATTTATTAGCACAAGTGTTTAATGTTCACAAAACAGTTTTTTAAGCTGTAAATAAAAGGACAAAGGGTTCAAAGGAGATTATTAATATTACAACAGTGTTAACTTACTGTTCAAAACATTACAATTAGATTAAAATCCTATAAAATGCAAAACAAGCTAAATAAATCTAAGAAAAAAAAATTGGAATGACAATACAATTCTGGAGTACCCACTTCCACTAAATCACAATTCATGCATAAACATTTTTTGTTGTTGTTTTATGTTGATTATTATTATTATTATTATTAATATTATTATTATTATTATTATCATCCAGATTTTTGTTAGGTAGACTGCTCTATCAAAAGATCAAGTATAGGCCTGTTAGTGGCTCATCCACTAAACATTTTGTGGCATCAGATTTCGATCTCTTTTCCGTAGGATTTTAAAAATGACTGCAGTTCTGCAAGTTGCACCTGTTTCGGAGCAGAAGATCTGCTTGTCGTTTTAGTGGAAAAATATTTCCTTCATAAAGTGAATTGCCAGCAGTTGTATGAGCTGTTGCGAGCAGCTGTGTAAATGAACAAGTGCTCGCTTTAACTTCCATCTTAACTTTTTTTTATTATTATTATTATTATTATACATAGAGGTTTTGCTTCTTGTCTTTCACAAAATAAAGTTATTTTAATTGACAAATAATAATAATAATATTATTATTAATAATAATAATATTAATAATAATAATAATAATTGTTAGTGCTATCAGTTTGCATGCGACAAAGAACTCAATGAATGATGTTAGGCTATTTTTTTTTTGTCTGTGCAATAACGGTCCGCTTGCGGCCGAAATCCTAAATATAATAATAAAGCTAAATAGCATAGGCTACTAAATAAAATAGCAGTACAAATAAAAGGCTACATATAAATGTTGGGTTGTTTGAACAAATTAAGGAAAACCGGATCTATTTTCTTAGACATTAAAGCAGTTTTACAAGTTAAAGATCTTTATCGTATAATGTTCATAATCTAAAACCTGACACATGATATGCATATAAGAAAGGAGTTAAAGTTTGAAGTAGGCTATAACTATGACTTTTATTCATATTTCCAACCTTCCGCATATTAGGCCGCAAACTCATCCACCTTTGGACAAAACATAACAAACAAACGAACACAATGCAAATACATTGAAAGTCCTTTTGGCTAGCATCACCATCCTGTACATTACCTGTTAGAGCAGCAAATACACGGTTTTCGTTATTTGGGAAACTCCCATTGCCTTCTCGACACCGGATCCCACAGGCACTGATTTAAAGCAAAAATCTGAAATCACCGTATACAGACGTCGAGTCTCCGAGGACAAACCAGCGTCTCTCCACGCGCTTGATCCCTTCAAGAAAAGCCAACGCTTTGTTTCTAAGATTTTCAGTATAGTCTATTTAAAGGCGGACCTCAAACATCTGAACATCTGTTCAATTCACGTGACTCTAAAATGCTAACATCTGTTCAAAATAAGTTCGTGTGCCTCAAACAACCATTTGCCAAATGCCTTACAAGTGGAAATGAACTCAAACCTTTTTTCCAGTTTTTCCCTCAAGTTTACTGAATGAGACCTTTATGACATTATGTAGAAAATGAAAACTATTTAAACAAATACAACTGCAATTAAAAAAGCTATTCACAATTACATTTTTTTTTAAATAACTCAATATGATTCGTCTTTAAGTTTCTCGAAGGGATTTTACTTAGGTTAATGTTACAGTGGCTCAGCATATACAGGCCAGCTTCATCCACCCCACCTTCCTTCCCATGTCCTCCTGAAGGAGTCTTAAGTTTCATTACATCTGGGAATTCCGCACATGCTTCAAAACCCAATTACACACCTTCAAACGTGCACGTGCTTTTATTTAAAATATTCCATGATTCCAAAATACTTTCCCAGACTTCATAAAAAAATGCAACTGTCAGTGCACTACATATATGCATATAGTTCAACGCCGATACAGACCACGAACGCAGTGGAAATGTCAACAGGCCTTTCCGATGAAAAAAAGATCACGCGGATTTCAATTTGCACTAATTTAAATTAACATCCAAATTAATTTGGTGACACCCCGATATAACAGACTACTGTATAAATAAATAGAGGTGTTTTAGTTAGCTCTCTATATATTTATTTTTATTGTTATTATTATTTTTTTAATTAACAAAATTAATGAGTGCTGTTGTACCCCTTGCACACAGTATTTTTGGAGCAGCCTCCAGGCTATACATCCACTGCAATCTCTGGGGATGGGACTGTGACGCACATGTGTATTTGTGAAGTTCTGGTTGGATGAAACCAATGATTTTGTGCAACTGTAAAAATACTAATCTGGATTTTGAATTTATTTATTTTTTCTCTTGACCTCGTTCTTCTTTTTTCTTTCATGAACTGACATTGTTGTCGAACCCATGCCACTAAAAAGCCGAAATAAATAGGACTTTCAATGAAAAAAATCCTTAATAGACAGGCACATCGAAATTAACTAAAACAAACTCAGTATTACATCACAGTATTACGCAATCGGGGGTGAAAAAAAAATCTATCATATCACATATTTAGGTAAAGCAAAGTTTTCTCTACAATTTAAACATTGCATTACAATTAATTCAGTATCGAATTGTTAAAATGGATCAATTTTAAGACAATACAATTATAGGCTACCATTTTGTCATTATTTTATTTGTATCATATTTTCATTAGGCTATATATTTTGTCTCTTATTTTTATAGCCCAATTTTAATGTTAAACATCGCATGTGCTATTTTTAATAGCAAAATATTCCTCAAAACATTACTAAATGACTTGCAATACAAATTTGTCAAAGCATAACATTAATTTACTGCATTTTCCCTGCTCAGTGTTTCCTAAATCGACCAGAATCGAAACAATTAAAGTGAATGAATTTCGAAATATTAACTTGAAATATTTCTTAAAATTCTTCATTTTTTTATTACAGAAATACACATTTATTTACAAAAGTAATAAAAAATAATAATGCATTTCAACACATTTGATACATTTACTTTCATTTCAAAAAGTGTGTCATCAATAAATAAATAGAATTGTACTAAAGCTTTGTATTTGCACAGGATTCGAACTAGAGGCTTCAATTCCCATTTTCTTATCGACAGTCCTTGTAATGCAAATTCACTTTCTTCCAGAAAGTTATGCACATCTGAGTCTTCCAAAAAAAAAAAAAAAAAAAAAAAAAAAAACATGCATATGCACATATTTCCAACATTCGTCGTCATAAGACTCGCGAGGAAATCCATATGACAATTCGCTGCCCGTGGCCTTCTCTCGGTAACAGCCATGACCTCTGTTGGAACATTTGCCGTTTTCCCCAAGATTATGATGGAATTAGCATTGGTCCTCGTGTTTTCCCAGCTCACGGTTTGACCTGCGAATAATAGCATGGTTTAATGATTGCTATAGGTAAAACATTATTTAAAAATAGTTTTTATTCTGAGAAAATAATAAAATGCGATTGTGCAAAATGTAGCTAACAGGCCGTAGTGGTTGTAAACAAACTCAGTTTCGTTACATGCAATAGCTGTTTAGCAGCTTCTTTGATAAAGCTACATTTGGGCCAATCTTAATTATTTCTTTCTATTACTATCACTAAACAGAGAAGCAGTGTAAAAAAGCCATACTGATAGTAAACAAATCGAGCCCTGAATTACATGCAACAGTTGTTGGGTTTACAATCTGTTCCTAAACTTGTAGAATTGAGCTTACTTAATAGTTTACAAAGTTGCAGCATTAAAAACCAGGCATATTGTGAAAGCGTACCATTTAAAAACAAAACAAGAAAAAGTTTCCCTGCACACTAGTGAGATGCAGACATGGACCAAGCGCCCTCCATCCTCCAAACCGAGAACGCGTAGCTCAAACGCTCGTGAGCAACATAACTACAACTTGCCATCTTGGAGTCCAGCTCGTCACTCTGTAGAACCTGACAGAGAAAATCGATGTACCTGGCGGCGAGTTTCAGCGTCTGTATTTTGCTCAGTTTATCGGAAGGTAAAGTGGGGATGATTTTGCGTAAAGCCGCAAACGCTTCGTTGAGCGACTGCGTCCTCTGTCGCTCGCGCACGTTCGCCATCACGCGCTGCGTCTGCAGCTCCTCGAAAGACTGAGGGCTGTTGCTGCTGTTGCTAGACTTTTTCCCCCTTTTCCCAAGGGTCGAGCTATCGGAATCCTCCCCGTTTTTCTTGCTCGACCGTCTTTTCCTTGCGCACCTTTTTGGTGGCCTGTCGGGCTCTCCGTCGCTGTTGCTGAGACTGTCCGCGGGAGACACGGGGGAGCTGGAGGAGTCTCGCGCGGGCTCTTCGGGCATCTCGCTTAAGTCTCTGCTGAAAGCGCGTGCGAATAAGGACGTTATTCCAGCATGAGGGTGAAATACAATTCCACGCGTACGTTTCGTGTTCTGGAGGAGATCACTAGGTATTCCAAGCAACTTTGTGTTAGGTTGAAAGGAAAAAAGTTAGGGAGCTCTTATAGTCTGGTAAAGTGTTTGAGAGGAGAGAGATGATTGGCCAAGAAGGCTTAATACGCGAGAAGGAGGGTGGGGGGAAACTTTTCTTTTAAACTCAAGATATTTTCCTTGACATGTCTGACAGTTCTTTGATGAACAGAAAAAACAGAGATTGCATGCTCAACTACTGAAATGATTCGTTGTGCTTTGATTAGATTTTAAAACAATGCACAGCCGGCGCACTTTGGAATCAACTCGGTATTTCCTGTAATTATAACTTTCACTTAAATGAGTTATTGATTACTTCATCTCACGAAATATTTTATTTGAACAAAAATCACAATGGCTACAACATTATATATATATATATATATATATATATATATATATATATATATATATATATATATATATATATATATATATATATATATAACCATTTAAGTCCAAAAACTTACCCTAATAAGTAATGTGAACTTAATCCATCTGGGTAAACAAAGCAATTTAAGCCCAGTAAAACCCAATAAATGAAAAGAACTGTAAAACACTATAAGTTAAGGCAACTCAAACCGTTTGAGAAAACCAATTTCTACAAACCATTTAAGTAAAAAAAAAAACTAATTTTAGTACTGTGAACTTACTCCATTTAAATTGAAGTGATAAGATATTCAATTATCTTTTTATTTCTTTAGCCATTGTGATTCTTGTTCAATTATAAGGTTTCGTGAGATGAAACAATTAGCAATTAATTGAAATTTATACATACATACATACATACATACATATATACATACATATATATATATATATATATATATATATATATATATATATATATATACGCACGCAGCTCACACACACACACACACACACACACACACACACATATGTATGTGTGTGTGTGTGTACAGTTGAAGTCAGAATTAGAATTATTAGCCCCCCTGAATTATTAGTTCCTGTTTATTTTTGTTTCCCAATTTCTGTTTAACGTTGACAAGATTTCTTCAACACATTTCTGAACATAATAGTTTTAATAACTCATTTCTAATAACTGATTTATTTTATCTTTGCCAGAAATGACAGTAAATAATATTTGACTAGATATTTTTCAAGACACTTCTATAAGTGACATTTAAAGACTTAAAGTTAATTGATTTAACTAGGCAGGTTAGGTAGGCAAGTTATTGTATAATGATGATTTGTTCCGTAGACTATCAAGAAAAAAAAAAAAAATGCTTAAAGGGGCTAATAATTTTGTCCCTAAATTGGTGTTTTAAATTTTTAAAACTGCTTTTATTCTAGCTAAAATAAAACAAATAAAACTTTGTCCAGAAGAAAAAATGGTCACACTTTACAATAAGGTTCATTAGTTAATGGTACGTAATGCATTTACTAACATGAACAAACAATGAACAATACATTTGCTACAGTGTTTGTTCATGTTAGTTAACATTAGTTAATGAAAATACAGTTGTTCATTGTGAGTTCATTTTAACACATGGTGCATTAACTAATGTTAACAAGCATGAGTTTGGATGTTAATAATGCATTAGTAAATGTTTAATTATGATCAATAAATGCTGTTAGTGTTGTTTATGATTAGTTCATGTTAGTAAATGCATTAACTAATGAACCTTATAGTAAAGTGTTACCAAAAAAATATTATCAGACATACTGTGAAAATTTCCTTGCCCTGTTGAACATAAATTGGGAAATATTTAAAAAAGGAAAAAAACATTCAAAGGGGTGCTAATAATTCTGACTTCAACTGTATATATATAAAGTTGAAGTCAGAATTATTAGCCCCCCTTTTTTTCTTTCCCTAATTTCTATTTAAGGGGGAAAATTTTTTTTTCAGCAAAGTTCTAAAGATAATAGTTTTAATAACTCATTTCTAATAACTCATTTATTTTATGCCTTTGCCATGATGACAGTGCATAATATAATATTCACTAGATGTTTTTTCAAGACACTTCTATACAGCTTAAAGTGACATTTAAAGGAGTAGGTTAATAAGGTTAGGGTTAGGGTAATTAAGCAAGTTATTGTATAACAATGGTTTACTCAGTGTAAACTATCAAATATATATAGCTTAAAGGGGCTAATAATTAAAAAAAAAAAAAAAAGATTTCTCCAGAGGAAAAAAATATTATCAGACATACTGTGAAAATTTACTTGCTCTGTTAAACATCGTTTGATAAATATTTTAAAAAGTAAAAAGAAAAAGAAATCAAAGGGGCTAGTAGTTCTGACTAAAATTCAACTGTGTATATATATATATATATAAATTTAAATAAATATAAAAAAAATACTATAAGCAGTAAATTTCAATAAACATGTAACTTAGTGAGATTTATGTAATGTAATTTATCTTGAGTGTGACAGTTTGTCTCCTGGGATAAGAATTTCGTATAAAACACTAGACATACATCCTACACATGTAAAGCTTACATCATCAATAACCACATATTTTCAGCAAATGATATACGCCCACTGTAACACTGACTAAATATTTGCAAATTTCTTTCTTTCATAGACTTGTTTTTATAAAGTGAAATGACAAAAGTTCTCCACCAGGTGTCGTGATGTTCCGGTTGAAGTGGTTTGTTCGTTCTAAATTCACAAGTTTAATGTTTAAATTAAGTTCACAAAACTAAACGAAGGGCATTTTGTTGAAATGTATTAGAAATACAGGCTAATATAAAAGACTGGCAGGTGTCCAATGCCTTTTTCCCCTGTTTACAGCCCAAGACTAATACTCAAATGTAAAAACAAATACTCTTATCTTCCATTTGTGATGCTTCATGTTCAAATCCAGGGACAACATTAGAGAGTACAACACCCATAGCCTAACTGCAGGTCTTTCAGCGACCAGCGGATAACCTAATAACACTTGGGTCGCAGCCCTTCGAAAAAGACATAAATCTCAGTAATGTCCAGCATTCACCTCTTGCATAATTGAAAGTTGTTGCACAATTGTGCAGACAGGGCGGGGGATTGATAAACATGTTAGGGGATTTTGGTTCGATTTCAGTCCAATTTTTGTGCAGTCCTGTTTCAGCTGCCCGGGTCTTTTAAAAGACAAATCCTGGATTCACATTATACATCCAACACCACACACGTGGCATATAATCGATTTCCCTGCGCAGAACTGCTGAGTGAGTGAGGATTTTGACTTGCACTAAGTATGTGATGATGATTCACGCTCTGACTCAAGTATAGAGAAGTCCAAGAATCTGATATTTTACAGCTCCTCCTGCTGCAAGGCCAGATCCAGCACTGCACTACAGCCAGAGCACATCACTGAAGGCTCCAATGACTGCATAAACATTTATTAGATGGGCTGTGAGGAGCAAAAGCCTGGTCTCTTTGGGCCTATACTCCCATTATGTGCTGAAACAAACCATCAGCAGTGTATGGTTGCATATTTGACTAGATTGAACTATTCTCATATTTATATTCAGCATCAACATTTATTCAACAATGTTGAAGGGCCACTAGCGTGTTCCACTCAAGACAATACATCACTTTTACATAATTTTGTTCATTTAGTTTAACCCAAAATGAAAATTTCTGTCACAGTTTATTCACTCTCATGTTATTCCCAGTATATATGAAAAAAAATTGTTTGAAAAATAACCAGTAATGTTTGTTCTTGAGAGTCAAGAAAGAATTGTTGAACTTTTATTTATTTTTACGGATTGATTTTTAGAAAGCTTATATACAGTATAAGTACAAGTACATTACAGTACTTGTACAAAAGTTTGGTAATGTTGCAGAACAAATTTTCAGTTACTCTATAAAGCATAAATTGCAATCACACATATCCTGAACACTGGCTTAATCAACCCTAAATCTGCTCAACTTTCTCAAACTCAAATTATGTCGATTTTTTCTATTCTTCTCTAGTTCTATGGAAACTTACATTCTTAGTTCACTGAAAAAACAGCCATTAATTTATATGAGATACAAGTCAAATTCTAGGAGACACTGTAATCTGGATGTGGTTTTGTGGTTAACAATATAACAGCAGTCATTTTTTTTTTTTTAAGAATGCAGTTGAATTTGACACGACAATTGACACGACAAAAGATAATTTATTGTCACATCTTAAAGAAAATCCTTTCCAGAATCACTATCATTTAAATCAGAGGAGCCCAAACATTTTCTTTTATTGGGCCAAAAGCCAAACTTGATTGGGGTTATTGGGCCAAAGTTAAATAGTTGCCTATATATGTATGTACATATACATATACACACATATACATACAGTTGAAGTCAGAATTATTAGCCTCCCTTTTAATTTATTTTTCTTTTTAAAATCTTTCCCAAACGATTTTTAACAGAGCAGGGAAATTTTCACAGTATGTCTGATAATATTTTTTCTTCTGGAGAAAGTTTTATTTGTTTTATTTCGGACAATTTAGAACAAAAGCAGTTATTATTTTTTTAAACAACATTTTAAGGACAAAATTGTTAGCCCCTTTAAGCAATTTTTTTCGACTGTCTACAGAACAAACCATTGTTATACAATAACTTGCCTAATTACCCTAACCTGCCTAGTTAATCTTATTAACCCAGTTAAACCTTTAAATGTCACTTTAAGCTGTAAGTGTCTTGAAAATTATCTAGTAAAATATTATCTACTGTCATTATGGCAAAGATAAAACAAATCAGTTATTAGAAATGAGTTATTAAAACTATTTTGTTTAGAAATGTGTTGAAAAGATCTCTTCGTTTTAGAAATTGGGGGAAAAATAAACAGGGGGGCTAATAATTCAGGAGGGCTAATAATTCTGACTTTGCCCCTATATATATACACTTTTTTTTACATTTAATAATGAACTTATTACAATAAAAATAAATTAATCTAATTTATAACAGACTACACTATTTTTTGCCTTGATTTGCTTGCTAATGTCTTCTGCATAGTCCTTTGTTTGTCGAGTGACAGTATTTATATTATAAACATCCCTAGTAGCAAAGAATTCTGGCCCAGATTTGGCATAAAGCTGGCACAGCCGGCATTCATCCGGCACTGGCATACAGCATGTGGGCC